CATATAAAAATGACAAATTTATATTTATTTTTAATTAATTATTATTATTGTAATTAAAAAAAGCACTTTCATTGTAATATATGCTACATTCATATTCTTAAAATGAAAATAAATATATTAAAACGACATTTTTTTTTTGAACATGCATATTAAAATGACATTTTAAAGAAAATAGACAATAATTTTTAATGTCTTAAAATAAAAATTAGTTAAATTAAAGTTTGATAGAGAGTATACTTTGTGTATTATGCAGCGAGAGACAAATATGATTTTTTTTTTGTTATAAATAAAAGTCTTGCACCAAATCATATATTCTTAATCATCCATTTTCTATTTTGAGTCACTTAAATATATGATGATTTTTAGATTAAAAAATAATTAATTTTGAAAGATAAGATAAAAAATGAATATATCCAAATTATTATAGTAAGAAAATTAAAAATGAAGAGTTAAAATTTCATATAAGAATTATGTCTAAAAATATTACAGTTATAAAATTATGTGACATTATAAATTTATAATATAATGTATTATTATATAATCAATTATGTTTATTAAGGAATTCACCTATAATATTATATGTATCTATTCATTTAATACTATATCATATTTATTTAATATCATGTTATGATTGTAAGTTTACAATTATTGTAGTTATAATATTATTGAATTTTGTTTAAACTTATGTAGAAATTGGTCCCAACTCATGTCTTTAGATTGTTAGTTTTTCTAATATATGTTTAAGAATACATGTTTAAAGTATATTTATTATGTATTTTTATCATTAATTTGTGTGAAATTTTATAAAAGTAAAATTTATTTTCAATATTAATATCACATGAAATATTTTAATTAGACAATTTATAAAATTAAAATTAATTTTTATTTCTGAACAATGATTAGTACACAATTTTGTTCAACACACCTTACAATATATTTATTAAAAAATTATTTTTTTAAAATTTGATTTAAAATTGAGAAAACTTAGAGTTATATATTTTAATGAATAAATCGATAAATGTTGACAAAGTGTATTAAACCAAAATGTCTTCTAATTCTTTCTTCTTCTTTTTTTTTTTTTGCATAAAAATTAATAAAAGAAATGCACCCTTAACTTATGCCTAAATTTCTTTAAAAATAATTAAAAAGTTAAGAGCAGTAAAATATTAAAAAATATTCAAATTCAACATTTTTTAACCCAATAAAAAATAAATTCTAAGTGCATCTCTTATTTATTGCTCAAATATCTAGTAACTCTACAAAATTCTTATATAACCTATTGTTTATCTAACTAGAAAAACGAAATAACTGCATCGTGTGGCAGACCCACTTCTATTTAAATAATTATTAATAATCCAATTATTATACTACTAGCATTTCCTAACCTGCTCTGCAGGTTATTGGGGGTATATTTTGACTTTAAAAGAAAATAAAAAATATTGCTAAATTGGTGATGTGTTTGGCTATATTGGACTACCCCTAAGTATCTTCTTGACTTCATGATGGATGGAAGCTTGATGGTAGTTTAGATTAGAAAAAAAAAACAAATGGATGAAGAAATGGGAGAAGGTGAAGCCTTGGTGATGGTGAGCCATCGAAAATGAAGTTAATGTCCAGAATGAAATGAAGAGGGTGAATGGAGGTTTTGTAGAAGGAGAGAATTGGTGTAGAGAGGATAGGTTGCATTCATTTTTTTAGTGATAAATTATTATCAAATTAATTTGTACATATTTTAAGACTAATTTATTTTTGAATTTGTTAAAAACAAGCTATTTAAAGGATAAGTTGATAGAATAAAAGAAGAAGGATCTATAAAAAAAAAAAAAAAGAGAGAGGCCGTTTTGATAGTTTTACTCCTACTTCAAAATTTTTTTTTTTTTGGCCGTCCATTGTTTAGTATTATTGTGATTATTATTGTTGTGAAAGAATCCCTATCGAATTGGAGCCATCAAGATAATTAAT